GGGGGGGTGTTTAGAATATTTTAAGTCCGTCTTCCGACAAGATTGTGATAACATATTATAAATATATAACTACTTTAAAAATTTGGGGGGGGGGTTGAACCCCTAAATCCTCCCCTGTATACGGGCCTGGTGTATAGTAAATTTTAATGTTAGAGACTAGAGTGATTATCCATCAAACTTTTAAGTAAAAACATGACCAGTGTTTTCTCGGGGGTATTTAATTTTTTAGTGAGTCACATTTTTAAATTATAATATTATGCGTAATACCTATTCATAACTTTTTTAAAATAAAATATCTTAAAAAACATATGAAAAAGAAAATCTATAAATTTGATAATAGATCATTAAACTGTATTACTAAAGATTACTACACGAAATTGAAACTGCTGAGTATACTGATAATATGCTGCCATATAATAATAATAATATGAGGCACGTCTGTAATATGGAACACATGCGGGTGTGGTGATGGTCTATTATACCTAAAGTCGTACACTCTTCAACCACTCTCAAACTACCCTCCGCATACAACGTGCTGGTTGCCGGTGTTTAATCGACTGCTGGCTGTGGCGTATGCCGTATAAAGTATAAACGTTTCACAAATATTTGACGTGCCCTCGACGGAATACGCTGTTTAATAGGTTCGTCTGTCTGAAAGTACTCGCCCCTGACCGGAAAAGAATAAATTTAAGAAGCAAGACGACACGGGAAGTAACTATATAAAGGCGTATAAATAAATCATACCGTTTTGGGGGATAGATTATATTATATACCTATTTCCTATATAAAGTATACATAATGCATCTCTAAAGACCATAAACCCTTGAGTTGCGTTATGTATAATTCTTTTAACTGTAGTCTCCTCGATTTATAGTCGATATACACAACCGATAAACGGGTGGCTATCATGAAGTATATACACATGGTGTGCTCGATTGTTTATAGAACACTAAAACGGTCGGACGGAAACGAGTAATTGGACTTATCGTGATCCTCTTATGACTATATAATATGTATAAATAGCAATGCATGTTGCCGTGGTAACTGGTGCGAAGAGTAAAACGATTGAATGTAGAACTTTTTCGGTGGTTTATAGAGGGGTGAAGTGAATAATTTATATCTACTGCAGGATTATCGATATTCGGTAGCCCGATGATGAAATTTAACAATATAATCATATACCTATATAAGTACTAGAGAYTTGACGTTGTAGGTMACGACTATCGACGATTAGTCTAAAACCTGCATTTATTAATAGAGTTATTATAGTTCCTAATGTCTATCATATTGTATAATTCATTATTTCCTTCTTTTATACTGGATTGCCTCTTTAAACGTTTATATAAATACAGCTCTCAACAACGCATTGGACCGTATTAATGTCTTATTATCATAATAARGTTCATATAATAGGAATAGAAGGATTAGCCCCTCCCCCTAAAAACTCATGAAGTCCTTCCAAGGTGTTTCCTAACTTAACCTTGTAAGTAGGTATATAACAAATATTATGCCAATATGTGTTAATTGATATTTCTAGCACGCTCAGATTTTTAACCAAATTTACACCTATGTGCRCACGACTTTAACACGTTATTGCACATTTGTACGGAATATTGATAGACTAAAAAATAAGCCTTCGCTGTCTCTTTGCCATAACTATACCGAGTGAGTTACTGCTCAATAATTACATTATCGTATACAGCAGTAGACGGGAATGTCGGAAAAAAAAACATTAGTCCAGAACTTACCCATTTCGCCGTCTCGGCACGGTCCGGACGCCTTGGTCTCRATCACTACACCCGTGGCACACGCGTCCATGAACATCTGACACCAAGAGTGGTACGTCTTGTCATTGCTACCGCACACCTTACCACTCGTGTCCTTGCGCTTTCCCGAAGTTTCCAGTTCYGGGCACGACAGGTTGCACGTCACACATCTCGGACGTCCGGTCTTTTTCTCGACCAGACATTTCTGACCGCTCTTGCAGCTCACCGTGGCGCACGTGGCAGATTCTATATATGATGGAAAAACAGTCGTGAATTATTTTATACGTATTTTATTTATTTATATGCAACACGCACGCGTCCTGTGGCGTGGTGGATTTGACATTTTTCACATGTTATATAGTTTAATATTGACACATAAGCATCATGCAATAGCCCGCTAAATAGGTATTCGCTGTCTTATTAATCGTAACTAACTGTCATAGTTATTATTAAAATTCTATATAGTCAATACTATATTATGACATATAGGCAATTATCCAATAATACTCGTCCATCAAGAATATCAGAGGTGGATGCCTCTCGATTACCCATTTTGCCATGGCACTGCAGGACTCATCGCATCATACTTGTTACTTATYGTTAATAATAAATAATAATAAAAAATATTAAATCGGAGAGATTGAGGAGGCACAGACAACAATTCATAAATTTTAAGTGCGCTATATTTTAATGTCTATTGTTGATAATATCATATTATATGTGTAATAGATAAATCACGCGAACATCCATAATATCATATACGTTGTACCGTATTTCTTATAACTTATAAGTTATAATATATAGTTTTGGAACTTGATTAACACGTCCAATAATAATTACCGAGTAGATAATTAAAATATTATTAAGAATCTGGTTACTTTTTTTTGATACTAATGAATACGGATGATGTGATRTGGTTTTGGCGTATTGTCAACGCGAAGATTATATGAAGTGTGTAGTAGTAAAAGTTATATTTGATTTATTTGTTCTGAAAAAAATGACGGGCTTCTGGCAAAGTGTTGRGTTGTGTCATCGCGTTAAAAAAATATATGTAGGTACACATTGTTGTGTAGAAAGCGCATCATATATTAAATAACCGTAAACAACGTATATAATATATAATTATATTTACGAAGTATTTTGAGTTTTAATGTATATGTATGGTTTTAGTGACAAAAAAAAGTAAATACGTCAAAATATATGACAACTACAATATATGATCACATTGCATTCATTGTAGCAGTATAGGTATACGTCTTTTCGAAAACGGCATTATTATGATAATAATTATTATCATTGTCAAACACGAACGATTTGTTTCGTTTCTGTTTGACAATTTGACACCCTGCAAGTATAATATATATATATTTAAGTAGTATTAAAAAAAAAAAATTGTAGTCGATTCGTGCAAATATACTTGTGTGGTTCGAGAGATTTTAAGACCAGAGCACTTATAAATTGCCCGCAGGTTTATCGAGTGTTGACTAAAATATACATACCTACCTTTTCTTGCAGCCCGACGCCAACAATAATAATTGTAGCGTTTTATTACCGCCCGTGTGTGTGTGTGTGTGCAGTGGCTTATTATTGCCTACCTATTTTTTTTTCATTTACTCGCTCTAACGCGTTAAAATTCCCCGAGGTCAATAACGTATGGTTACACACACGTTGTACGCAGGCATTATACTGACCAATAATTATTATATTTTTCACTGAGAGTTGAGACGACGACCGGTAAACGAGACGTCCGTCGGCGCGACTGACTCACGATGTATATATAGTAATACGATACCTATATGGCTATATATCATGTAATAATAATAAATCGCAGATATGAAAAAAAAATCACATCGGTACAATGTTTCGTGTATAGGTACACGGGGTACGTATTATATCTATAATATACCTCCTAATAACCGCGATAATAATAACGTATACGCGCGTTATCTGCACGCTGAACGACCCGAACAAGTGGTCGTCGTCGACCATATAACTCATAGTATTACAATGCATTACAAGCGCATAGGTTCGTAATATGGTATATATGCTTAATGCTTATAGTGCGCAGGGATGGGCGACTGGCGGCCGGCGAGCTTTTTTTATCAGGCCCGTCCAACATTTCCAAATCACAACATACAATTTTCAAGTTTATCGTCTATACTCTACATTCTATAATTTATATGCATAGTCATTCTSAAAACTCACATATTAAACAAGTACCTATGCTTAGTAATAATACTATTTATATTTAATTTAATTTTTTTTTTAATAATCCTTTTTTGCTTTAAATTCACAACATTATAAACAAAATAAATGGTGCTAATTAAAATGTATATTTTAAATGACCTTTTTTTTTATATATATTTATATAATATTATTAGTATATAGTAGTTATATCCAATTAATAATATAATAATCTGTGACTTTTCTCCGCCGCGCACGAGTCGGTCGAGCTAGCGTGTACGCTTTTAACATTTCGACGGTTCCGTTGTGGGTCAGCGTTTTTTAGTTTTTACGCGTCACGTCGCCCGCCGCCGTAGGTATACCATTGAGTAATTATTATTATTATTATAATTATTATTACTCTATGAGGTATACGATGCGTATTATTATTATTATTATTATTATTATTAAAATATTATACACCCACCACCGCCGCCGCACTACTTCTTGTCCACCTACGCCTCCACCGCGCACCGGTTATGGTAATACATCGGGGGTGTATGATGACAGTAATAATAATAAAAATAATAATAATATTATAATACAATGTAATTTAATGTTATATAGGAAGTCGTCGCGAACACGCTGCGGTGGCGGCAGCGGACGGCGTTAAATTTAACTCTTGGACGACGGTCAACTGCAGCGGCGGCTATTACGAGTCATTACCCGTATACACACGCAGTAATAGTGGGTACTATAATATAATAATGACAATAACAATAATAATAATAATAATAATAATAATAAATAGCTCCGGTAGTACTATATATCATATGTATATACGCTTAACGTTGCAGCGAGTCGGTAACTCGCGAGTAAATCTCCCAACTTGAATTCCTCCCCGTCCTCCCTCACCCGTGTCAACACTGAAAATATTCTATTTTTATACATATTGCAGCAGGATTTGTCGAAAACGAATGCTGCTAAAMTACATGCATGGGTTAAATCATCATATAACCAGTTGTTGTAACCAGTGAAGGATTAGAAAGGTKKGGCTTAAAAGTACAATCACTCCTTCGCATAATGTGGCCCATTTTATATTTTTAATAACAACAGAATAATTAACTGCGAAAAAGAATACTTGCCATTTTTTTACATAAATAAATAATACGTCTTTAAAATTGAGTCGTCGATTTGGAAACGTGATTATAAATTTTGAACCACCGTAATGAATCATAAACGTTAAACGAAATTTAGTGTTTTCAAATAAATTGACCATGAATTAGTGTGTTTAGTGGTAACTGGTAGTGCCTACTTAAATAATTTGCGAATTAAACTGATAATTAGTCCATTTAAGTGTTCAAATTAAAATAGAACCTTTTACGCGTATGCAAAGTTTTATACTCAGTACTCATTGCTTATTATTTTATAATTTTTTACTAATTATTAGTTATTACTATATTATATTACAATTTACGTTAGATTCACACCATTATACGTGACTCGGATCTCAAACTCCAGACATTGCAACTCACACGTTAATTTAATTTAAATATAGATAGGTACGCGTTATATATTACAATAATAATGTCCATCAATGGTTGATTTAATAATAATACTTATAGGAGACGCCAGACGATTGTATAATAAATAATAATATGATGATGATACCGTTAATATCATTATACGACGGGTCCGTATTTGCGTTTATGATTTCCGTTACTTTGTATAGAATTAAATAAAATGCTACGATATTAAAATTTTTATTGCTACGACATAATTAAACTCGTTGTTTTTTTTATGTCAGCGCATTTTATATTGAATAAAAATTATGTACAACAATTTTCAACGTGAATTAGTTAATTATAAAATATATAATAAATAATAAAATAAATTATATAACGTTAATTATAACAGTACGTATGTTTTTATTTTAAAAGTTAATGATTGAGCAAATTTTTTACAATTGTTCGTAGTATTAGTACAATAATTTAAACATATCAGGTATATTCCACATTAATTAGACACTKACCGTTTCGAGTGAGTGAGAAAAGATTTTTGGTTTCCGCTATAACCACGTTCGCTTAATATATTTCCTTCGACTATACGGGAAGTATAATATAAGTAATAATAAATTACTAAACTATAAAGTGTCTATAAGGAAGTGACCTAATGGTGAATTATAATTCAACATTTTAAACTATGTCAAAAGTAGGTACGTTGACATCCTATCGTCTATAGCTATATATTATTATATTGTATGTAGGTAGGCAAAACACAGAAACAGTTATCATGATTGTCTGTGAATCGTTCATTTCAATGAATATTATTTTTAAGTTACGACCATCCCATATTTTATAAAATAAAATATGTGATGCGTTCAAACGAACGTCTGTGTTCAGGCTAATAGGCGATGGAACCACGAACCTGTATAGCAATAAAAAATTACCAAAATTATGGTATTAATACTTAAATCGTGTGCAATATTTTCATCGTTGCATGACATTATAGTTGGCGGAAGCAAATTATTATTTAGGATTAGGACCAGACGACCAGTCATGTATACAATACACGTCATATAGAGCTAGTAAACTATAAAATTCATTTAATATCACAGATTTCACCTACACACAAGACTTAGTAATTGGATTTTCGGAAAAAAAAACTAAAAACGGATGTCTGAGTAAAACACGACATTGTGGCGATATGATCTACAAGAAATGTTTTGAAATAAAAAAAAAACTCGGTTTAGACGATAACGTATAATAATGTGTACTATATAAATGTAAAATATATGTAGAATACCTAGCATAGTTTGTTGTAAGTTTAATATTTTCTGTCTAATAATAGGATTTTTTTTTTTATTTACTCTTTTTACTTTGTTCTCTAACGACAAAGTAAGTCGACTAGAAATTAACACTAGTAGAGATTGGTGAGCAGAGTGCAAGTCGAATACGAATATATAAAATATCAACATTTTAACATCGTCGCATTTTATAGACAMAACATATTATAATATTATGTCCTTATCTTTCTAATCCTATAACTGATAACGCGCAAGTCTTATATTTTTGTGCATTGTGCATATTGTTGTAAAGGTAAAGGTATAGATAGTGCTTATTTCTAAATGAATTCTCGTTGTTGTGATATCTCATCGAGTATTTGATTATAACTGTTAWTGAAWTATTATAAAATAAATATTGAATATTAATTATTATGACTGCTTCAATGGGCGATATATAATCTCATAAATATTATTTTAGTCCCCAAACTATACAAGATTTATGTTTAAAATCACATTTGAAGGATGTACTAGTAGAGTTGTTATACAGATTTTAAACATTATCTTGTTGTTTTCTTGTTCGAAAAAGAAGATGTGTAAGGTTTAAGGAGCACTTAAATGTACGCTTAGATCAGAAAATTATTTGTATTGCGTTATTAGCAAAGTTATATTACAAATATTCCTAAAGCTATCAAAGAAATCATATACGTTTAAAAAAATAATACTTATTAGTAATAAGTTATTACGGTTCSTTTTTATAACATAGGAATTGCCTATCTATTATATTATACTTATCTATGAGTAATAAATAGCACGGAAATTGTTTTTAAAGACGATCACTTTATTTATTAATTGAACTACATTTTTTCTAATTTTTTATTTGTTTGTATTTTGAATAAGTGATAATATAGTTTAAAATATATCAATAATATATAATATGCTGAAATGCATTGATCAGGGTTGTGTCGTATACACCCGAAATTCTAGTATAGTAATAATATTATAATTTATAATTGTAAATAAATTACGATCGACGACGAAACGATGGTTGGTGACGACGATGCCTGTCATAAAGTCAAATAACGTCGTATAATATTATATACGTCGTCGGAGCCGGTGCGTCTATAATACCTACACATATAATATGTATACAGCTGAATATTATGTATATTATRTTAAGCACTTAAATATCGACTCGTCGATTAAATTAATTTATTACGCGACGACGACCGAAAACGAAAAACAACAGCATCGTAGTATACATCACACCACCGTCGCGCGTATTTAAGTGATAGGTAGTCTGCGAAAAACAGGTGGCTGCGACGACAGCGGCGGCGGGATTGGGCGCGAGTCGTGTTTATTATGATAATACTTAAGCGATATTAAATATACTTACACACTCGCACARTGTGTATATTTGTGTGTGTATATAAAATGGGCAAGTTTTGATGGGTAGTAAACGTGCACGGACGACGACGTCGGCGGTGTGCGACGCGCGAGTTTTGTTGCTGCACCGAGCGTCTAGACGGCTTAATGAAACCGACTGTATAATACAGTGTTGTGTTGTGCACACATATAATAATACAATAATAATAATATCGCAGCCGCCGCACCAGCACTATAAAAACGTCCATATAAAACGCGTACATAGTCTGCTGCCGCCGCCGCAATAATAATAATGAAGTATGCTATACTAAATATACATAATATAATAATGATAATAATAATATAATATAGTATGGTACACGCCCGAGGAGGAGAAGCTACGTGGTGAAACGTAATTATTATTAGCGAGCCCGTGCATGTATATATACCAGATACCTATACCTAACCTATAAGAGTGCGATTCGGTAATAATTCTGAGTATATACTAAAATTCGTCATTTTTTTTATTATTTCTTTTTAGTGCGGTGCTATTTTGGTATATATAATACCACATGCATTATATACCTGCCTAATATCTTCTTGCTGCTAATATACACCATTTGTGTCGAATATGCTCTACCTATATGGCTATATATAGGTAGTAGGTACCTACTACAGGGCGAGGCATACATATTATATAGGTATACCTATATATAGAAGTTTGGACATTTATAATATATCTCTTGTGCGCGCCCGTCGGCGAGCTTGTGATATTAATATTATATGATACGACCGAATTCTCACGATATAATATTAATATTTTGATGTGTGCGTGTTGTACCTATATACGCGTATTATGTATATTACTGCAGTCGTGTAATGTATACGACCACGTCGTAATTATTATATTATCGTACACACTGTGGAGTGCAGACCGTCATCGTTTACGACTCGGAGATTGGCGACGATAGACCATATTATGTATATACATGTACATGTATTTATGTGTATATTTATGTTTATCGTCGCGAATAGTAAAAGAAAAAAACAATATTCCCCAATATTATTATTCGACATCATATTATGGTCACCGCCGGCAGCGTCGGGTGTGTTCGAACTCAAAAATGTGCATAACATAGCATATAACTTGTATGTACAACGCAACGTCTTATTTGTGGACGGCGAGACGCGAACGTTTCGTATTTTCGAAATGTTATTTTCGTATTTTTAAGTCATTTTCAGTCGACGACGACCATGTACATCTTAGCTACACATCGATTTTGACCAATGTAAAATAAAATAATAATGATATGATTGCTTTACGGTAGATTATTTACTGATGCCACTATTGCCACCTACAATATTGTATAGATCAATGGCCGAAATCAAACCTCAAGAAACTAAACCCAATAAAGCCTCTAAAAATGTCGGAAATGAAGCTAAATTGGAGATTACTGCGGACTACTAGAATCGATAAAAACTTAACATATTATACGCCTGGGTCAAGTATATCGAGTAACGAATAACTGATGGAAGTTGAAATTTTGCATAACGCAATACCTGCAGGGCGTAGTCCCAACTACAGTAAGTTTTGTAATGCAATATTTTGACGATCAAACGTGTATCTTAATGATTATTATCTACAAATCGACATATCATAATATTTGAAATAATAATGTTAAGATTTCGTATTGGTACTCACTCTTGCAAAGCCCCTTGTACGCTATCGGGATGGCCTTGCCCACCCGACARGCGGCTTCGCGCAGATGACACGCGCTCTGGTACGTCCTGCCGTCGGACCCACACACCAGTCTGGACGGCGACATTCCCGGAGGACAGAAAGTTGCACACTTGACGCAGTGTGGCATCAGGTTCTGGTCCTGCAGACAGTACTTGCCTCCCGGGCAGGTGACTTTATTGCATGAATCTGTTTAAAATTAACGACCGTTCTTAGAATTAACCATGTATAATAAGTACAGAGATATTAAATCTTAAAATCAATTATAAAAATTTTAGTCGTGAAATAAATAATTATAATTATATTATATTCTTCGGACACACATCATAAAACACATTTATATTTCATGTTTGTACCGAGTATACTTACTCTGACACAGGCCGTGGTAGTCGACTAACAACGATTGGTCTCTGGTACGACACGATCTCTTTTTCAGTCGGCAGTGTGACTTGTATGAAACGCCGTCCGTACCGCACACCGGACCTTTGGCTATGAATCCGTCGCGATGCTTGCAGTTAGGTGAACAGATGCACTTTGGCGAGCCGGACCGCATAACGCACTTTTTGCCAGCAACACATTCAACGTCCGTGCACGATCCTGCGCAAAGTGTATACGTGCAGCGAGTTTTAATTTGAAATCACAATAAAGACGACAAATTGGTTTCTTGCAGTTGTAATTATACGGAATAAAATAATAGGAAAAAATTAATTCCCGACATTATACCGTGATTGAAATACAACAGTAGTGGGGAAGGAGGGAGGTTAGTTAAATATACAATTTGAGGTGAGTTGACGGGCTTCGTATTTATATCCCGAGCAAAAAATTTAGCATGCTACTAGATATTTTTTGTCTGCATGAGAATTTYACATTGCAAAATATTTTACACGGCTAGACAGGTGAAGTGCAATAATAATAATAATAATAAACATAGGTACTATTAATATATTAATACAATAAATTGAAACATATTTATGATACTAATATTCATACAATGTTAACCTAATGTAAGCATGTAACTTAAAGTTGATGCTTAATTAATAATTTTAAAAACCGTCTAAAAAGTTAAATTTATGGTACCTAGGTAATATAATTATACAACAAAATATAATAATAATTCGACCTTTAGTTGTAATTACCTTTGCACTTTGCACACGGTACGCCRTCGCCCAAGACTCGCCAGAAAAACAGCGCTCCGGGGTCCAAGTCAGTCGAGCTCCAGGACGTGGAAACAGAACTGCCGCCCAACTTGCAACATTGTTCTTTCGACAATCGTTCAGCCAWCAAATCCTTGCACAGACCATTTTTACCCATCGAAGCCCAGCACATGCCACCTACAACAGCGTAATTAAAACCTTTTAATATTAGACCAACGCAAAAACTATATACAAGAAATCAACAATTTTTCAATTAAATTTTTTACTCTGACATAAACATGCTATCCACCAAATTCTTCGTATGCAAAAAGAATGTCCCCTTTAACTTATAACCTTAAACGTGTAGCTTAGGCATTTTATTACGTGTAGTTATAATATTATTTGTTTTTACTTTTATGGCATTTAACTTTATAAAATATTAAAATATCAATGCATCGATAACTGTCTCCTACAGATATAAATTAATTAATTAAATAATATTCACCCGTGTTGAAGAAATTAATAATATTATAATATACAGATACAGAATATGTGTTTTAATCATATTTATATATTGTATTTAAGTAATGATAGTTTGATGTGACATTTTTTTTTTAATTAGTGAAAATGAACGTTTATCCAACATTATAATATAATAATTAATTTCACCATTGTCACCGCTACAACGGCAAACTACAGCAAACATATAATATTATTGTTGTGCCATATTTATGGGAAAATTCAAAATATTATTGGCACGTACGACTGTTTCCGCGTATTGATAACTTGTACATACGTATGTGTACACATCCATTAATTAGATCTTGTATGTATCTCATATCACACAATATTCTTCCAAAGATGTAAAATAAGAGTKGTCAGACACTCAGAMTTAGCATTATATGGCCGCACGAAAAAAGTTTAACCGCATACACGGCGGACAATGTGTAAAAAGGAGCCTATACAGTACACCTCCTTTGTGTTTCGTATTATTTTTTCATCAAAACGTAGTATTTTTTATTCATGCCATGGTGTTTGTTGGCAAACATTGTTATAGTAAGGATATGATACAATTTTTAAGTATTTTGATCGATTTCAGACAATTATTCAATGTTCTTGTTTGCAACAGAGTATTTACWATTCGGATTTCACTATTTTAGTTTGTTAGATWTGATTTATTTTCATAATTATTTATATTTTACCGTTTGGTACATATGTTATGAAAATTCAAAAGTATRAATAGGGTTCACACTACATACTGTATGGAGTAAAATAAATTAACCCGATTGGCWGAATTGCGTATAGTTTCATTAAGGTATGCCATATTATAATGGTATATCATTGTATTATTTTACCACACGAAACCACAGTAATAGAACGATACCGCATTATCGCGACCGAGCTTATAGATGTCACCCATATTCGGGTTACGCATTGCTCGAGAGCAGGTTGTTTGTTACCATGGGTCAAYTGTGATGGAAAACTGCAATGACTGCCCACTGGTTTTTCCACGTCAACCGCATGCCGTTCAATTAATRACGATTCCTCGTGGACTGTCTCAACATACCTATATYAGATACATTGATAGTAGTATGMTGACAGTGATGCAGTCCGTTTAGTATAAATACATATTACATTTATATTGAACCGTATCAGAAAGACTCAGTAACCGAAAAGCGCCACAGTGGAAATGTGAAGAGATGAACCGATCTATTATAGTAAAAGATCTAAGCGATTTCTTATAGTGGCTTATCGACGAAAATATCATTTATACATTATTACATAATACCTACATAACCTACATAGTATATAATCGCGAGTGGTTGYGATAATATCGTCTTCGATTATGGCGGCATTCGAGGCATATAATCTTGTGACTTATAGTCTATGGTAGATAGTAATTGATTGGATCAACATTTTTATGAAAATAAATTCAGTACGACCAACGATAGATCCCCAGTCATTTAACATCGGTTAAAGTAGGTAACTGCAGTGGTTATATTATTAAATAATGTGGTTTTTAATAATCGTTTATAAAATAATAACACATTTTAATAATTTCTTTATCAGTGTAGGTATTCTAAAACAATTATGATAAATTATGTACATTATAGATATTATAAGTGTAAATAGTGTAATATATGGTTAAGACGTGTCGTGTGCACGAAAAATGTCGAGCTATAGCTAAAATCAATTTTTTTCAGGCTTCTATTAATAGCACAAATCCCTGAGAGCCTCCCCCATCTCCTCCTCCTTATCTAAAAAATAGTAATAGTAATAATTTGGTGCAATAATAAGTAACCAAAGTTTCGCTCACCTGCACACAAGTGTATAAAGGTGGATCCATATAGCTGGTAGAGGCCATATACTTATACAGTTATTCAGATGTATAATTATATTATTGTAAATGTAATGCTCATGATTAACTCTTAAAGCAGTAAGTATACATGTCTGAGATTGTGTGGATGATTTATGATGGTAGGTCGGTGCCATCTGGTAAATTCCTAGGTTTGTTCCCCGTAAAAAATATTAATTTGTACAACTTACAATTATATTATTTAGGTAGATACTATAATTGTACAATTCCACGCCAGCTGGTGTAGTATTTTCATAAGTCGTAAAATATAACTACCATTGTACCTTTTTTTTTTTATTAAAAGAAAATATATACAATCTGTATAAACAATACAATAAGTAATACCATTGTACCTATAAAATATATCTGGTAAGAATATTTTTCAATGTTTGGGCAACCATTTATTTCAGGAATGTGCAGTATTATTATGAAATTATAGAATATGATTAAAAATATARTACGTTATTTTATTTTTTCATGATATTATAATATCACGTTTTTGTTTTTCGATGTGTACGATAAAATCTGCGAGGCCTCGGTGTACAAATTTGATGTCTACCGAGTGGTGCACTGACCCTGTACACGCATTATGCAGTTAAATGTACCTATGCACTATCAAGTATTACTGTATTATAGGTATATATATTATTATTAAACAGGCATTGAAACTCATAAAAAAACCACCTGTGCGTACAAACAGCTTTAAACGAACGATTGTGGAATAATTATAATATTATGCGTTATGGTCTTATCGATCGCGGCATTGTCTACGAGTTTATATAAAATATATTATCACAATGAGTTTTACGGCGATAATTATATTAACGGGCTTTACCTATTATGCGTATCCGATACACAATTTAGTATAATATAATATTATTTTATACAATGTTAATGATAAAAAAATGATGTCTGTGTATGTTATTGAACTTAATACATTAATACTAGTTTTGATCATGTAAAGTAAAAAAAAATTGTTGTTAATTTATTTTAAATCGTTTGCATTGTGTCTGTCATGCCGCGTCATTAATTTAATATTATTTTTAATATTTCTGTTTTGTTTGGAAACATTATACCACACAATATTTATTGTAGGTATACTGTTCAACTTAGGTATACCTATACGTGGTAAACACAATATGTAGATATAACATGTATCGCGTTTTAGTAATTAATTTATGTTATTAATATGTCTRCAATTGTATTATTAGACTACTGAGATGTCCGTATTACTGTGGGATCGCGATTAAATAATAATAATTTGTTAATCTGACTTGAATACACATTTAAAATTTTTATTTTTTGTTTGAACCACAGTTTGCTGTACCAAAGTTTAATTGTTTGATTGGCTAAACGAGCTATTACTGCAAAGTTAGGACATCAGTTTAAAACAAAACAATTACGTGTTTGTTCGCACACGCTCATCTACTTCTCGGAAATTCATGTAAAGTTACATAGGCCCGTCGGCAATTATTTTTCGGTCCAAAACGGAAACGTGCTCAAAGTAAAAATGATTGTTATTTAATACAAATATAATTGATAATTTTAAAATAAAATTACACAAAATACGTTTTTATTTTGAATGAACACTAATAATATGTGAATGAATATCGTTTTATTTAAGGTGACTGTATATATTATTTAAGTGTAGAATACAGGCTGAMATTAGTCTTTTAAGAGTACTAAAAGAATTTATAGGCAATTATTAATATTTAATAGTATACTGCAAGTCAAAATTAACCAAAATCAAAATGTAAACAGCGTTTGACTTATGGGTTTACCAMGAACATTTCTTGGAATAATAGTTTTCTTATATATAATTATCGAGCTGTCATAATACCTAGTCTCTGACTAAAACGTAATAAAAAAAAATTAGTTTTCTTTTTATCTTAAAGACTGCGAACGAGTGCAGCGATTGTAGAGACTGTGGCTTTGGGTAGTTTTCTGGGGTCATACATAATATTATATAATTACTGATAAAGTGATAACTCGCAAATAAAACGTATAAACTGCATTTCTAATAATTTTATTCGAATACATATAGGTACTTAACTATTGTAAACTATAATTTTAAACCATTGATAACGCTGTAGCATAGTAATTTTAAAAACAATTATTTTTTTTGAAACTTATACATAATTCTTTCTCTTTTATCCTGCCTAATATTTTCCTGTTATCTATAAAAGTTCTCAAATTCTACTGCAGTGCTATTTAAAAACATGCCATAGCCTATGGGATTTAAAACGTCAGATGATATGTTTAATGTTTGATCTGTACATCAATGTTCAGAGATGCTATATATGTTGTCATGTTATTGTCGACCTTAATCTATTACTATTACAATAATGGTAAATGCGCCGCAGCACAAATACTGTGAAACAAACGCAACGAACATTTCGCCAGCCCCCCTTTTTTAAATTTACTCATATGACCTGTTAAAATGTGAAACGTATCAATGATGAATTCCCACATACAAATTAATGCAGACAACAAGGTACATTTTGATGTTCTTAGATTTATATTAATTTGAAAACAATGTCGGAATAAGCGGGCACACTTTAATTACTCGAGTCCAGGTCCACTCAACCGCTAAACCAGAAATATTTTTACTATATGTCAAAAAAGTATTTATGTATTCATTGCTCTAAAAAAATTAATTTAGCTTATCTTAAACAAAATAATTTATGATTGATAATGTATATAAATAGATTTAACCCTAAATACTAGATACAATTTTGGTGATAACCGAACGTAAAATAATATCACATCATTGAAACTACCTACAAACGTGCCTTGTTGACAGTTACTATATAAATTAAGGATATGTTATTTTTAATGAGAG